AACTCTCCCTCGACACTTTGCTGGATCAAGAGTTCGGGGGACGTCATCGAGCTGAACGTGTGCAGAACTCGGAGGTGTCGTACGTTCGGTACTTGATCGGTTGAATCGAGAAGACGATCGACTACATCAACCGCGTTGAACTAACGCTTCCGCTTTCGGTCTACGAGGGTATGTGGACACACTCTCCCCCTCTCGTTTCTATGCATCTCCTAGATAGATCTTGCGTGATCATAGGATTTTTTTTGAAATTGCATGCTACGTTCCCCAACAGAACCTACGAACTATGAAGAAGCTATGATGAACCTAGATTCCGATAAATGGCTTGAGGCCATGAAATCTGAGATAGGATCCATGTATGAGAACAAAGTGTGGACTTTGGTGGACTTGCTCGATGATCGGCAAGCCATTGAGAATAAATGGATCTTCAAGAAGAAGACGGACGCTGATGGTAATATCACTATTTACTAAGCTTGACTTGTCGCAAAAGGTTTTGGACAAGTTCAAAGGGTTGACTACGATGAGACTTTCTCACCCATAGCGATGCTTAAGTCTATCCGAATCATGTTAGCAATTGCCTCATTTTATGATTATGAAATCTGGCAAATGGATATTAAAACTACATTCCTTAACGAGTTTATTAAAGAAGAGTTGTATATGATGCAACCAGAAGGTTTTGTCGATCCTAAAGGTGCTAACAAAGTGGGCAAGCTCCAGCGATCCATCTATGGACTGGTGCAAGCATCTCAGAGTTGGAATATACGCTTTGATGAGGTGATCAAAGCATATGGTTTTATACAGACTTACGGTGAAGCCTATATTTACAAGAAAGTGAGTGGGAGCTCTGTAGCATTAATTTCTGATATTATATGTGGATGACATATTGCTGATTGGAAATGATATAAAATTTCTTGATATCATAAAAGGATACTTGAATAAGAGTTTTTCAATGAAAGACCTCAGTGAAGCTGCTTATATATTGGGCATCAAGATCTATAGGGATAGATCGAGACGCTTAATAGGACTTTCACAAAGCACATACCTTGACAAAGTTCTGAAGAAGTTCAAAATGGACCAGTCAAAGAAAGGGTTCTTTCCTGTGTTGCAAGGTGTGAAATTGAGTCAGACTCAAAGTCCGACCATGACAGAAGATAGAGAGAAAATGAAAGTCATTCCCTATGCCGCAGCCATAGGTTCTATTATGTATGTCATGCCGTGTACTAGATCTAATGTGTGCCTTGCCATAAGTTTGGCAGGGAGGTACCAAAGTAATCCAGGAGTGGATCACTGGACAGTAGTCAAGAACATTCCGAAGTACCTGAAAAGGACCAAGGATACGTTTCTCGTTTATGAAGGTGACAAAGAGCTCATCGCAAAAGGTTACGTCAATGCTAGCTTCGACACAGATCCGGATGACTCTAAGTCATAAACCGGATATGCATTTATATTGAATGATGGAGCTATCAGTTGATGCAGTTCCAAGCAGAGTGTCGTGGCGGGATCTATGTGTGAAGCGGAGTGCATAGCTGCTTCAGAGGCAGCACATGAAGGAGTCTGGATGAAGGAGTTCATATCCGATCTGGGTGTAATACCTAGTGCATTAGGTACAATGACAATCTTTTGTGACAACACTGGAGCAATTGCCTTAGCGAAGGAATCAAGGTTTCACAAGAGAACCAAACACATCAAGATACGCTTCAACTCCATATGTGAAAAGGTCAAGGATGGGGACATACAAATTTGCAAAGTACATATGGATCTGAATGTGGCAGACCCGTTGACTAAACCTCTTCCGCGGGCAAAACATGACCAACACCAAGACTCCATGGGTGTTAGATTCATTACTATGTAATCTAGATTATTGACTCTAGTGCAAGTGGGAGACTGTTGGAAATATGCCCTAGAGGTAATAATAAAGTTATTATTATTATATTTCCTTAATCATAATAAAGGTTTATTATTCATGCTAGAATTGTATTGATTGGAAACTTAAATACATGTGTGAATACATAAGCAAATACCAAGTCCCTAGTATGCCTCTACTAGACTAGCTCATTGATCAAAAAATGGTTATGGTTTCCTAACCATAGACATGTGTTGTCGCTTGATAACGGGATCACATCATTAGGAGAATGATGTGATGGAAAAGACTCATCTGTTAGCTTAGCATATGATCGTTCAGTTTATTGCCACTACTTTCTTAATGTCAAATACATATTCCTTCGACCATGAGATCATGCAACTCCCAGATACCGGAGGAATACCTTGTGTGCTATCAAACATCACAATGTAATTGGGTGATCATAAAGATGTTCTACAGGTATCTCCGAAGGTGTCTGTTGAGTTGGCATGAATCGAGACTGGGATTTGTCACTCTGTATGATGGAGAGGTATCTCTGGGCCCTCTCGGCAATACAACATCACAAGAAACTTGCAAGCAAAGTGACCAAGGAGTTAGTTACAAGATGAACGAGTAAAGAGACTTACCGATAATGAGATTGAACTAGGTATGAAGATACCGACATCGAATCTTGGGCAAGTAACATACCGACGAACAAAGGGAACTACGTATGTTGTCATAAAGGTTCGACCGATAAAGATCTTCATAGAATATGTAGGAACCAATATGGGCATCCAGGTCCCGCTATTGGTTATTGACCGGAGAAGCGTCTCGGTCATGTCTACATCATTCTCGAACCCGTAGGGTCCGCACGCTTAATGTTCGTTGACGATATAATATTATATGAGTTATGTATGTTGGTGACCGAATGTTCGGAGTACTGGATGAGATCACGGACATGACGAGGAACTCCGGAATAGTCCGGAGGTAAATATTGATATATGGGATAATAGTGTTTGGTCTCCGGAAGGGTTCCAGAATTCACCGGAAGGGTTTCGTATGCTTCCCGAAATGGTCGTGTACGAGAACACTTTATTTGGGCCAAGGGGTAACGCCCATGAGGCTTTAGGAAGGTGCAAATGGAGTTTTGCGGAGGCCAAGGGGCCAGACGTCAGCCACCCTGGCGCCTGGGGCCAGATGCCAAGGACCCTGGCATCTGGTCCTGGAGTCCGAGATGGACTCTTGCCTTGCGGGCTAAACCGACTTTGAGGAGGCTCTTTCTCCAATAAACGACCCCATGGCTCAACATATAAATAGAAGGGCGGGGCTAGCACCTAATACAGATCAAGATTCAGCAAGTCGTGTGCCGGCACCCCTGCCCCTTCTAATTTATCCGACGTCATAGTTTCTGTTGTGCTTGGCGAAGCCCTGCGTAGATTGTTCTTCACCACCACCGTCACCACGCCGCCGTGCTGCCGGAACTCATCTACTACTTCGCCTCTCTTGCTGGATCGAGAAGACGAGGACGTCATCAAGCTGAACGTGTGCTGAACGCGGAGGTGTCGTACTTTCGGTACTTGATCGGGGCGGATCGTGAAGGTGTACGACTACATCAACCGCGTTGATAAACGATTCCGCTTAGCGATCTTCAAGGGTATGAAGATGCTTTCCCCCTCTCGTAGCTATGCATCTCCATGGATAGATGTTGCGTGTGAGTAGAATTTTTGTTTTGTTTTGCATGCAACGTTCCCCAACACATATGATCCATATTCATAAAGCTCATGATACAATCAAGATCAGAAACTTTCGAAAACATGGGAGAGAGAGGTATCAAACACATACCTAGCAGTACATACTCCCTCCGTTTGGTGAAAATGTACATATAAATTTTTTAGGACAAATTATGGAGTGAAGTAAAAAATGCATTGAAAAGTTACAATTCACTATTTCTCTCCTTTTTAACTACCCAACCCCCAATGAGCTAAGTGCATGTAGAAATTAAGCAGACCATGTGTACAATGTTATTGGTCTTGATTACCGAGTGATGAGAGAGAAACCTTGTTTTCTACTTTAAAGTACATTGGGAAGATAGGAGCACACTCTTTATGGACAAAATTTAAAGCCAAATGTACACTCTTCACCGAACAGAGGGAGTACCCTTATCCTGGAGGGGGGGGAGTACCCTCATCCCGAACGGGGGACTACTCACACATCACCATGAGAACAGAGAGAGAGAGTTGTTGGTGATGGTGATGGTGGAGATGCCCCCTGCGGTGTCCAGGCGCCACCGAATGAGAGGGGGAAGCCCCCTTCTTCTTCATCTTCCATGGCCCTCCGGGGAGATAGGAAGCTCTCCCTAGATTGGATCTCTCTCTTTTTGTCTCATGTTTTCGGTACTTTTCTGAGGTCGAGCACCGTTCTTTTATAGTCGGAGATCTGTAACTTCGATCGGGCTGAAATTTAAGTTTTTTGTTGATATTTTAGGACCTGTCTTCCAACTAAAGAAGAGCCCCAACCGACTTAAGGAGCACCCACGCGGGCCTCGACGTGACCTAGGGGGTGGCAGCATGAACAATCCGTGTGGAGCCCTCCTGGCTCCCTCGGCCTCCATCTCTCCGGCCCCGTGGCCTTTTATTCCATAACAAATTCATGAAAAATATCAACTCATTCTTGCTCCGTGATTTTTTCACCTAGAAACCCAAAATAGTACTCCTTCCGTTCCAAAATATTGTGCTTCCTCTATTCGTGTGCTTCAACTTTAACCATAAATTTAACCAACGAGACCGACTGCGGTGGGAGCAAAAGTTATACCGGTGAATTTGTATTCAAAAGAAGTTTTCAATTATATAATTTTTTTCTCCCGCCACAGTTGGTCTCGTTGGTTAAATTTATGGTCAAAGTTGGACCTCGGAAAGCATGGACGCACTATATTTTGGAATGGAGGGAGTAGAAAACAGGAACAAACCTTTGGCACTGGATTAATATGTTAGTCCAAATGAATATTGTGCCAAAATCATAAATAAGTGATGTAAATATAGCATGAATACTTCAAAAATTATAGATACGTTTGAGACGTATCAACCTCCATCAAGCACGCTTCTATGTAACTGCAAGAGAGTTGCCTCGTCTTCCCCGACCTCGTGAAGCCCAACCCACAACAACCATGGAGTACGATCTCTTCGCGGTCAACTGGGATGACGAGTATGCGCAATGGCGTGCCCAATGTAGTTGCATGAGTAGGGCGACAACGAGCGATGAAGGCGGTTCCGGTTCGAGGTGGAGGCGCGACTGTAGATAACGATGGTGTTAGGGAAGTGTTGCAATGATGAATCGAGGCCAACAAGGCAAAAGTTGTGCCCATCGTGGTTGCCGCCGGGATGGGCACTCTGGGGCTCTTATGCGTGCGTGCTTGGGTAGATCCCTATGCAGTGTCACATGTACTGGTCTTGGCGCTCGTGCGTGCAACCCAACTCCAGTAGGGTCACCACAAGGTATGGGCGAGAGCTTCGTCTCAGGGTAGGTGAGGTGGTTTGTAGTGAAAAAGGAGTCTACCTCGGCGGAGAGAAACATGTCATATATGCGTTGCTCATGGCCCCAAGCGGCGTTGGCTGCTGTGGCAAGGCCTCCGTGAGGGCTCACATGGGGATACAACCGGAGCATCCCCGTGGTCTTGCCTTGCGTTCCTCGAGTTTGCTTATTTCGTGGATTTAGGCATTGTCGATGTGGTAAAACATAGTGCCGCCTCCCGGACTCTTGTGCCTCCACCTCCCAACGGGATACCAAAATGACAGTCTCTCTCAGACTTGATGGCTCCGGTGACCACTGATGGTGCCGTGCATCGTGTCTACTTTGAGCCCCAGTAGGTTGTACCTTTCTCGGGAGATGGCGGCGAATGCTACGGACGAGGATGCGATTCAGGACATATTCGACGGACGACATGGACATGGGCTAGGGATTTGGCGAAAGGAGAATTGTCACGACATCACGACATTTTTGAAAATTTGAAAAAAAGCATGCATGTGGCCTTCGCTGATGAGTTAAAGTGAAATTTGTGGACAAGTCCAATGACCGCTGATGAGTTTTCACTCATTAAACAGAGTTGCAAATATCCAAATTCCTCGTCGTACGGGTACGGGCCTGTACTCTACAATCCCCGCTACCTCCGGCACTCGACGCCGCCGCGCACACAGCGGCAGTAGCAAAGCAGTGCCCGAGCCGCCGCATGCTGCCGCCGCTGCGTAGACCCTTCTAGAAGCTTCCCGAGGATGGACCCGTCCACGCCCCTCCTCGCCATCTCCAGGGCTATCTCCTCCCGCTCCAGGTCGTTCCCCGCCACGTCCCCGCACAACATCCTCCTCCGCGGCCGCCCCCTCACGGCCCCACTCGGCCGCGCCCCTGTCTTCGCCGCTTCCGCCCAGCGTCGCTCCGTGAACGGCGACGTGCTCCTCCTCTCGCTCGCGCGCCTAGCGCTCCGCGGCCCGGCCTCCCCTCGCCGCTGGTTCGCGAGCGTCTCGGCTTCCCCCCTTGCGTCGACCGGTCCTCCCGGTGGCGGGTGCGGTAGGGGGAATGGAGATGGAGGGGGCGGCGGTGATGGAGGCGGCGATGGGTGGAAGCGGCCGCGTGCTTCCCAGGGGACGGCGGTGGCAGAGGAAGCGGCAGGGCTGGAAGCCGATACCATAATCCTTGACGTTGGGGTATGTATGTCTTGGGAATTGTAAATGCTTACATCATATCTTCACGTCCCAGTAAAATTTTCCCCTTAGATGGAATCACTGTAGCTGCTAGTCTTTACTTCTCTGCTCTTCATTGGAGTTGGTGGTGGTGTGAGTTCACTCCCTCACTCCACCCCAGTCTCCCTCATTCATCTAGAACTTACCACACCCCTCGATTTGAAAAATAAAATAAAATCTATCTTGCAATGGTGATCCCATCGCCGCGGCAGTTACGCAGGTGTGGTGTTGACTGCTTGATTGGGTTTCTTCTCTGCAGTACTCCCCCCCATTCCTAAAAGTAAGGCGTATTTTGTTTTGTTAAGACATGCATTTGACCCTCCATAAATACAAGGTTATATGACATGAAATTTGTGTGACCAGATTTGTATGTAAAAGTACTTTGTTATGATAGTGATTTTGTATCACATAAATCAAATATTAAAAGAGTAATTGTTGGTAAAGGTCTTGTCTTAATTAAACGAAGTACGCCTTATTCATCGGAACAGAGGGAGTAGTACTAATCCAATACAACAACAACAACAACTACTAATCCAATACGACTGAATCATATTTGTGGTTCTGTAGCAATGCACGGCCGTTATGCTAGTAATAATGGTACTTCAGTTCTATATGCTATAGTTGCATGGTGAAACTTCTCAATCTGTCATGGGAATTATGTTTTCTTCTAGTACTATGTAATCTGTGACTACATTAGTCATTTGAGCGTTTGAACTTGTGACTGCAGGGGATGTCGTGTGGGGGATGTGCAGCAAGCGTTAAACGCATTTTGGAGAATGAGGTGAGTTATTCGCAAAAAAAGAAAAAAAAAAGAAAAAGAGAATGAGGTGAGTTGCCTCGGCGTGTCTCACTGGCTCAGAGCTGTTTTCCGGCATGGTGTTTATTAGTCAACTAGCTGTCTTTCTAAGCCAGTGTGCTTGTGTTTGCAGCCCCAGGTGGTGTCTGCAACTGTCAACCTTGCTACTGAGATGGCAGTTGTGTGGGCTGTGCCGGAAGATAGAGCTGTACAGGATTGGAAACTGCAGTTGGGTGAGAAGCTCGCTAGCCAGTTGACAACATGTGGGTACAAATCCAGCCAGCGAGGTAAACTGTTACAATTGATACTGTAATGTCGTGAGGCTGATATAATACCATTTAATTGGATGTGTTGAGGACTGTTTGAACAATGGTTTAGAACTTAGAGAATTGCTAGTTGTCCCTAATGTGCAAAATCTGCTGATGGATAGGTTCCTCAATAGAAGTTGACTGGGCATGCTGCTTAAGCATTTCAGTGGTTTTTATATGCAAGATATATGAATGGTGCTTTAGAGGTCCAGTGCCTATTGTTTAGCTGGATATATCTCAAAGTCCTGTTGTTACATTATGCTATGTAATGCAAGACAGATGAAATTGCTTTGTCATTCACTTTATCGGCTTTGCCCTCCAGTTTATGTCTGAATTTCCCTCTAAATTTTAATGCCAGGCGCCAGTATATCCAGTTTCATGCAACTGTCTATTGTACTTGCAGATTCTTCGAAAGTCAGTTCACAGAATGTTTTTGAAAGAAAGATGGGCGAAAAACTGCAAAATCTGAAGCAAAGTGGTAAACTTAATTCGCATTGGCAACTAAACATCAACCCTATGATCTTTGTCCAAGTTTGAGTCTTTTCTATGATTAGCATGACATTGGTTTCTATTTTAGGTCGAGAACTTGCTGTATCTTGGGCACTATGTGCTGTTTGCCTACTGGGACATATTTCTCATCTCTTTGGAGTTAATGCACCATTGGTGCACCTGTTTCATTCCACTGGATTCCATTTGTCTCTCTCAATATTTACATTTATTGGGCCTGGACGAAGACTAATTATTGATGGAATAAAGAGTCTATTCAAGGGTTCTCCAAACATGAATACGTTGGTTGGTTTAGGTGCTCTGTCATCTTTTGCTGTCAGCTCAGTTGCAGCCTTCATTCCAAAGCTGGTACCTCCTACTTTCTTCCTGGAAGGATTACATTGTTGTATAGTTGCATGCATGAGCTCAGATACATCAAACCATAGGAACCAGGAATTTGACCTTACCACAACTGCATCATTGTCTCTGCTCTGCAGATGTTGTTGAGCAAAGTCATAATTCAGGTTCCATTTAATTGTACAACTGCTCTATTTTATGGTAGTTATTTTATACCAACTGATTGTCTTGCAGGGATGGAAGACATTTTTTGAGGAACCAATTATGTTGATAGCTTTTGTTCTTCTAGGGAAGAATCTTGAGCAGAGGGCGAAGTTAAAAGCTGCTAGTGATATGACCGGATTGCTCAATATACTTCCATCAAAAGCACGCCTAATGGTGGATAATGATGCAGAGCAATCATCATTCACAGAGGTCCCATGTGGTACTCTTGCTGTTGGGGACTATATGTTAGTGCTGCCTGGGGTGAGTAAATATAAGTCACACAGACAAACACACAAATTAATAAAAGTGTTTACACATGTTTTTTTATGGGTAATAGTTTTGTTGCTTCCTACCTTTGCAGTTATAAAAGTTTGGCATGTTATTTGCTTGTGTGTTAATGAGTAAACATAATAACATATACAGGTACAAGTGCATGATATTATGTTCCTGTCATAGGTCCACATAGAACTTTGTTTATGCGGTTATAGCCATTATGGGTAGCTCGTGTATGATCGCATGCTATTATCCTATTAGTATAATGTTTGCTATCGTGCACTGTCCAGGACCGCATTCCAGCCGATGGACTTGTGAAAGCTGGAAGAAGTACAGTTGACGAGTCAAGTTTGACAGGTGAACCTATGCCGGTAACTAAGATTGCAGGGGTATGTTTTCTGAACCACCTAATATTGTCTTATGTGGAGATATTGGTGCCTTCTGGCTCACTGAATTCAGGTAATATCTGAACATTAGCATGAGTATGGTGTTGATTCTTTTTTCCTTTGTTAGGCAGAAGTATCAGCGGGAAGCATTAACTTAAACGGTAAACTGACAGTTGAAGTTCGACGACCTGGCGGTGAGACTGTCATGTCTGACATACTTCACTTAGTGGAAGAAGCACAGACAAGGGAAGCCCCTGTTCAGCGATTAGCTGACAAGGTATATTTGTCATCACATTTGGAACTGAGACTCTGGGACCAACTCTACGAGAACTACTACTAATTTAGTGTTAATGTCTGATATAATGCTGAATTGTTCTATTTTATCATTATGTCCAACGCAATTATGTACACATAAACATTTTGTATGTGGATGCGATGTTCAGTTTGGCGCACGAGTTCCACACATGGACCCTTTGTGTGGACTAAATAATTATGGAATATGGGTCATTGACTACTTTCTGCAATTTTTATTTGACCTAGGCAAGATTGTAATTAGCAATTTAGTAAAAATGTATCTTCCAGTAGATACTTGAGCCTGTTTAGCACTTAGACATATGTTCAAAACGTTTCTTGGTTCAGACGATGTGTGCACTTACTGCTGTATTCTACTTTTAAGTTCCTGATCACTCGAAATATTGATTCCATTTTTTATTAAGGTCTGTTTATAATACAGGAATACCACAGCAAACGGTCTGAACCCAATAGGAACCTTGATTTTGTCCCGTGTTGGGAACGGGGTCTTAGATAATTAGTATTAGCTCTTTTATATGTTTCCGCATAGGGCATTTGTTACACCGTCCTCTACTGTCTTTGTCCTGGTCACTGCTGACGGATCTTTGATCAGTTACAACAATCTTAGAGATATTTTCATCCACTTACCATATCATAACCTGAATTAGTTATAGGTTTAGGCTATACTGTATTACTATGATTAATTGCGTCAATCATTTTATTATTACATAACAGGTTGCCGGGAACTTTACATATGGCGTTATGGCGCTTTCTTCTGCTACCTTTATGTTCTGGAGTATTTTTGGTTCACAATTTGTACCTGCTGCTATCCAGCAGGGAAGTGCAATGTCTCTGGCTTTGCAGCTTTCTTGCAGTGTTCTGGTATGATCCAAGAAACACATGTTTAACAGTCTTATCCTGTCTATTTACTTTGAATAAAGAGTAATGTTTTGCTTAAAGTAGCATATGGTAGTGTAAACTGCAAACTCCTTTGAATGGTGTTGTCTTGAGAGAAAAAATTGTCTAATTCCAAATTCAGTTATTGAGCTTACAAAATAAATGACATGAAAAACAGCCATGTTTGTTTGAAATGCAGGGATGTTGAAAGTGTAGGTTCATTTCAAGATTGAACTTTTAAAAAAGGTTTCTTATAAAGGAAATAAGATCATTGGGTGTAACTGGATTAATCATGCTTTTAGTCCCATACTTGTATCATCTTAAGTGTTAAGAAGACTTGAGTTGCACAGGTGTAGCTGTCAGAAATCTATGTACCTCTCATATGTCTATACAACTCTCCAACAATTTTAAATGTTAAATTATGGTTTTCATTTATGTTAATGACCATGAACCTTGAAATATATTGTTTGGTCCAATTTCAACCCTAGACTATAACATTGTTTATAGTAAACTTGAAATAACTTTTTTAGGTGCAATGGAATGGAATACTATAAAATGAGAATCTGCAAAGTTTCATAAAAAAATATGCATGTTTTTCTGCCATGTACAAAAAACAAGATAGATGTTCTCGTCTTTTTGTGTTTTCCAGAAAAATGTGAAACATTTCGAAGGTGTAGGGAATGAATAACTCATAAAATAAGGAGCTGAAAATTTGCATCACAGAATATGATCATTTGTATCCTGTACCAAAAAGACGAGATGGATTGATATATCTTTCCCTCTTTTGTTCATGACACAAATGGTTGTATCTTTGGCTGAAAATTTGCAGGTTCTCACTTTCTAACATCCTTTACACCAATGATTGTTCACATTTTTAGAAACCCCCAGAATACATAACCACCATCGAAAACCAGTTAGGACAAATGACTCTAGAAAGTTCAGGGTCTATTACAGAAGGTTTTATATTAAAGTGTTCTAGTCAGACCAAATACCATAGTTCAGGGCTGAGGATAGATTTTTTTCTAATTTAACTTCTCCTTGCCTACAATGTGCCCTACTTTCTGAACAGTTAAGGGTATTGATCTTCATGTGTAGGTAATTGCTTGCCCATGTGCTCTTGGTCTTGCCACACCCACTGCAGTGCTGGTATGGAACTAAAGGATATGGCCCCTTTTGCCTGAATAAACGTTCTGTCAACAATTATTCATATATACTATTTCCAGGTTGGTACTTCGTTAGGTGCAACGAGAGGACTTCTTTTACGTGGTGGGGATGTTTTGGAGAAATTTGCGGAAGTTGATGCCATTGTGTTTGATAAGACCGGAACTTTAACAATTGGGAAACCTGTAGTGACAAAAGTAATAGCTTCTCACAGCGAGGGAGGTGTAAATACAAAGTTAAGTGGTTCTGATTCTGTTTACTGAATTTGTATGTTGTATCTAATTACTTTCCTCAAAGTTGTACTTGGTTATAATTTAGAATTTTTATGCGTTACTTTTTACTTCCCATTTAACTGGAACTCACTGCAAAACATAGCTGCACATAGGATGGGACACCCTGAAATTTGCAATGTATTTCCATGGATAGCGTTTTTTTTTCCAAATCGTATGTGTGACTTATGCACTTCATGTACCCTCAGCAGCAGAAGTGAAGTTTATTTCCCTGATCTTCCTGTTGATAAACCATATTTTGTCATCAGAGATTACTGGAACAATGAATGGACAGAAGGTGACATTCTTAGTTTGGCTGCTGGAGTAGAATCAAATACAAACCATCCACTTGGAAAAGCGATCATGGAAGCTGCCCAGGCTGCCAATTGCATCAATATGAAGGTACTCACAGCAGAAATGCTCAACAAGTCTGAGATAAAATGACCTCAGTATGCCAATTGCCTCGGTACACTAAAACGGCTGTTGTAGGATAACTGTTCTGCTACTTGAATTCAGACCGTGGCTGAATCTCATTAGGCCCATAACCACCCTTGCACCAGAGTTGAAAGAAAACAAACATCTTGCACCCTTTGCCATTTAACTTGATAATTGACATATTCTGCTCAATAGTGCTTTTATGATAAAATGAGATCACCTAATTGACATTTCTGTTTCATGGCACAGTTTATTCCCCATTAGAGTTGCAGATTTTACTGTGTTTATATGCTCGCCATTTTCCCATGTATATCGTTACAGGCAAAGGATGGGTCCTTTATGGAAGAACCAGGGTCTGGTGCTGTGGCTACGATTGGTGAGAAACAGGTTTCGGTTGGTACATTAGACTGGATTAGGAGGTACACTTGAATTATTTATTCAATTGTTGTGCTAAGACTTGTACTAGGGACATATATCTTTCCTCATTCTAGCTATACAACTTTGTTTGGATTATTGCATCAATTTTCTGCTCCATTACACTAGCTCCATGTGTAATTGTTATGTTGCACCGAGGAACTGTGCTCACTAGTAAACAATTGTTTTGACAATATCTCAGGCATGGTGTTGTTCGTGACCCATTTCATGAAGCAGAAAGTTTTGGTCAGTCTGTTGCATATGTAGCAGTTGATGGTACTCTAGCTGGTCTTATTTGTTTCGAGGACAAGATCAGAGAAGATTCTCATCAAGTTATCAGTGCCCTGTCTAAGCAAGGAATTAGTGTGTATATGTTATCTGGGGACAAGGAGAGTGCTGCTATGAATGTTGCTTCAGTTGTTGGCATTCAGTTAGACAAGGTAATATCAACTAAATTTTGCTTTACCGATGTGGACATTTCTTTTCTGGTGAATAGTTCCTGTAGTAAAACAACAAACTTCTGTAGTACTCCTATATGACATCAAAGTATGAGAATGAACATGTTGTCTGACTTCAAATATGCAATTTATATAGTACATCTTAGAAGGTGCACCGGTAGTGCTGTTTTATCATTAATTTTAGAAGCCTAATGCTGCATAAATTTTCTGCCTATTAATTTACCTGAAAATATGAATTCAGATGGTAAATACCACTGTTCAACTTTTCGTAAAGAAAAATAATTAACATTTGTCATAAAGTTATGATATTATTATGTATCTTTGTAGGAAATGGATTCATGCTTTTAATTATGCATGGAAATCTTACAGCAAGCTGAAAGGCTTTAATATGTAAATTGATTTCATCTGGTATTAGCAATTTCTCATCCCCATGCACTATTAAGCGAACATAAAGATCTATGATTGAAACCATTTCAGCCACAATGGGAAGCATGAAAAAACGTTTCTTTCATTCATTAGGATTCTTTTCTTACCATGATTTGTTTATCCTTTGTTACCTTTTCAGTGTGATTTACTTGTGTACATAATTAAATGGTATCAGGTGATTTCTGAAGTTAAACCACATGAGAAAAAGAAGTTCATATCTGAACTTCAAAAGGAGCACAAGTTAGTTGCGATGGTTGGTGATGGCATCAATGATGCTGCAGCCCTAGCTTTAGCTGATGTTGGAATCGCAATGGGTGGGGGTGTTGGTGCAGCTAGTGATGTATCTTCAGTTGTTCTCATGGGTAATAGGTTATCTCAGGTAATTCATTCACGGCAGCTTGGAGTTACTCACTGACACCATTGCCAAATTCATTGAACTTTACTTCCCTCTTTGTGCTAGTACCATCTTTCTTTTTTCTAATAAACTGCGCTGATGGGTCTTTGATGCAGCTTGTTGATGCTTTAGAGTTAAGTAAAGAAACCATGAGAACAGTGAAGCAAAATCTTTGGTGGGCTTTTCTGTATAACATTGTATGTTTCCCTTTCTTGTCTCTTTATGCCTTGCTCATGTGTTTCATAAGTTATCAACTGCCAGGATAATGTTGGACCTCAGTTTTAAAGAAGTTACACTTAGATTAAAAATATATGCCTGCTCAGAATCCTGCTTGCGAGGCCTCGTTATGATGCGATACTTTGCAGGTTGGGCTACCCGTTGCTGCTGGAGCATTGCTGCCAGTGACGGGTACGATGCTGACCCCGTCAATAGCTGGAGCACTGATGGGTTTTAGTTCAGTCAGCGTGATGGCCAATTCCTTGCTTTTGAGGGCGAGGATGAGTTCAAGGCATCATGTTCAGAGCAGACAAAAGCCTCACAACACCATTTCTGGTGTGTCAGACGGAGCTGATGAGGTAGAGCAAAGTTATCCATCAAAATGGAGGAGTACCTGACTGAAGTTTGAAGTGATGACATACTTATTACTCCACGAACATTTGATTATAGCTCAGTCACATAGCCACAGGTGAGTAAAAACACTAATAACACTGTAAGCACCAAGAGTTGATGCAGTAATCACCAAGAGTCTGAAACATTATGTGATGTACAAGTCCTTGAACCAGTGGCGGATCTTGGGTCTTATCAACAGGGTACCATACTTTCGACACACAATTTAATTAATTGTTGTGCGTGGATGAACATCACAAGCTCACCATGATATTGGTCAAAATTACAATACAAAGTTCACTGGTTGATCAGTGTAGTAGTAATATTGTGCCCAATTTAATTGTGGTGTGCGGATATTGCAAATTCAATGCATAAAATTTGTCAAAATTAGACATGTTGTAGGAAAATCGAATTCTATTCTACCTATCCCACCTAGTCATACATGGCAAATTGTCGAGGTCGTAAACAGCCAATATAGATCATATGTGCTTAGAAATGTCGATTATTAATCACTTGAGGTGGAATTACCTTAAACCTTTTTAATCGACAAAGGTTTTAAGACATACTCCCTCCGTTCTAAAATAGATGACTCAACTTTGTACTAAAGTTAGTATAAAGTTGAGTCATCTATTTTGGAACGGAGGGGATCTAGAATCAGTGAGTTACTTTTGAAGAATGTTCAATTGTCAATTTTAACCTATTTTATTACTAGTGAAACCTTGCACGGCGGCATGTTGCACGTTCGAGGGAGCATGCAATGTGCTTAGCAGGATAAAGAAGCAATTTTATTGCCACGCTGGATAAAACTTTTGCTTATATTGAAGGATTTGTTGCTTGATTTGGCAACGATGCTTGTGCATTTAACTTGTGGTAATTAGTGTAATAGATCATCCAAGTACCTACGAAGGGGAGCTTGCACTACAGTAGATGCAATTTACATTAGTGCTCACTGATGTGGCAATATTCCATCTTCTTAAGCACGCCTACATAAGCACCTTGCATTGCACATGCCCCTATTGCAATTGCCTAGATCTCCCCCACGCTAACCATATGTGTGCGTGCAATGAACCAATCCACTTTTAACCTTGCAAGAGGGAGGCTAATGAAGTTGCAGATTGCCTGGCTAAATCCTGTTATATTTCTAAATCCCCGTCTATTTGGGATAATACCTCCTTGATTTCATTTCATTCTTGATTGTAAACGATCTGGCTGTCATTTGATGAATAAAATTACTTTCCCGTAAAAAAAACTAATCTACCTTTAACAAGGCATTGTTACATGGTTGAGCCACACCAGATTAACAAACAACTCGAGCGCATCGAGCTCCATCTAGTTATCACCTAGCGGCTTCCCAACACGTTACACATGCATTCTATTTATATGGGGATTCCGTGTTCAAGCACAAATATAACCTCAGAAGAGGTTTCTCATCATGTACAACAAAAATTCTACTTGGATGCGGATTTTCTCGCCCCTTCCATTAGGGCCGTCTCCCGTGACGAGGAAGGAGCACCGCTGGGCCGGGGAGCAACGCAAGGCCGAGGCCAACTATGAGGTCTATGTAGAGAACCTCATTGAGGTTGATTCACAGCTCCACAATCAACAACACTGCATTCTGCGAGTCGAGGGAGGCGGAGCGCAACAAATTATTGGAGGCGGAGCTCTTCGATGAGGAGGAGATGAAGACGTGGAGTAGGTCTACCGCCAATGACCACGAGGCCAGCCCTTCCAGCGGAGGGGTGATTGACATCTCCGACGAGGAATTAGACAACTACTACAATTAGGAGTAGAGCTAGGTCTATCGCAATGTAGTGCTAGGGATCTATGAAAATGCCAGTGTTTAAGTTTGTCGTTTCATGTTTAATGTGCAACATTTCATTCTAGAGCTTAAAATATGCAATGAATTTATGATGCTTGTCCATGTTTCAAATTCTACGATACCAAAAAATAATTTTAGAGCTGCTGAAAGAGCAGAAACTTTTCTGTTGAACCCAAATCTTCTCTCTCCACACCTAAAGCCAGTTTTGGGTCATCAATTATAGGGTTGTTGTTGGAGATGCTCTTGCACATGCATTCTATGTATATGGGATGCTGTGTTCAAACACAACTATAACCTCGAGTGAGGTTTCTCATTGAGATATGTGATCTATACGAGAAGATAAGTACCACATTGTTATGACCTTCCCAAGAACATCGATGGGGTTGACTATGATAGTAATGATAAGAGGATAGGACATGGTACACCCCTCCCCCTCCCCTCTCCTCAGTCTCTGGGTGGGGAACATACGCGAGTGCTATGTGAGTCTGTTCTCCACCTTCTATTTTTTTTGACAAAGAGTGTTTTTTATTGACTCAAAATATAGCATCGAGGGATACAATTATAGTGAGTACACACCCGGCCTCTGCATAATTAGGATGCACACAGCTAACACTAACACACGCATATGAAAAATCACGTCGGCAAATAGCAAAGTCAACAAGACCAAAGCTATGCCTAGGCAAAAGAAAAAGAAAATAAAAACCCCGAAAGCGATAAAAACAATGATTTGACAGCATACAGCAGTGACCATTGGCACCAAACCATCTCTTGACAACACAAGGACTACAAGGTAAGTTCTTCAAAAGCGATGCCTCCAGGAAGAGAATGACGTGCAAGCGATGCCGTAGCCCGACCAAACCATCGAAGGTTAGATCGTGGGTTTTCACCCTGAAAATCAAATCCGAGTAAACTCCAAGCAATGCCTTCATCAAGGTAATGACGTAGAGAACACCACCATTGCCATGTATAACCAAATGGTCAGACCTAGGGTTTTCACCCCGAAGCTTGAGACTAGGTACCCAAAAAGTACCACCCAATCGAAGTCATCATATGTTGTCTCCTCCACTTGCCTCGATCCTAGCAGCACACGCGTACCGTCCCGGCGATAGGCTAATGAGCCATGGCGAGGGTCGCTCGACACAACATGGCGAAGTCTTCGCGGGGAGACAGGAGACCAGCACTGCCAAAATCCAAGTTCGGGATGATCCGAAGGCCCGCCGTGCTCGCAAGCAACAACATATGGCTGATCTTTATAAGACGACAGCAACACACGTTGACACTATCGCCTCCATCCTCGACGCAGTCCGTGAATAGGAACTCGCTGTTGTCGTTGGATCGGAAGTTTAAAACTCCTCAGACGATGCCATCCGACCACTACCACAACCAATAAGGTCTAGGGCAGTGCAAAACAGCATCATACTAGCCAGATCCATAGTGCCACCGGCCTTTTGCCGGAGTGGACGACCACCATGGCCACCATCTTCGAACGCACAGCGTGGGCGACAGGCACGACATCCGTCGCTTGGCCTACGCCGTAGCACGCTGCGCCCTTGCGCCTATCTGGCATGAGAGTGCTGTACAGGTTGGTTCATGGACCTCATGCCCGTCTGCACCCCTGCCACTTGATGCTCCTGACCGCCAGGGAAGGTAAGGAAAGACGTGCACCCGTTGCTGCGAGGCCGCCGACCAACCAAAATCCCTCGCCGTCGCTGCAAGTTCCACCTTCATGGCGTCCAGTCGCCGCTCGTACGCCGCCAAATACTGCCTAAGCGCCACGGGTATGGAGCCCCGCCGCCGCCGTCGACCACACGGGCAAGCCCGGCGGCGCTGACCGGCGGCGGCGAGGAGAGGACGCACGAGAAGGACGGCCGGGAAAAGAGGATCAGATCGCCGCCCGAGTCGCCCAGAGGACGACACGGGGGATTATGTAGTTTATTTTTGGTGGCGCTCCCGCGAGCACCCGGGGGGAAAACCCTAGCGCCGCGAGCAGCCCCCCTCCTCGCTCCTCCCTCCCCTCGCCGCTGCCCCGACCGGGCAAAGCCCGGCCAGTGCTGGCGGCGGCGGGGCCCTCTCCTTCCCCCTCTCGGCTCGGCAGGCGCGGGCCTCCGGGTCGGGCGGCGGCGTGGTGTTTCCTCAGGGCGCGGCGGCAGCAGCTGGTGGTGGCGGCGATGCGAGTTGTGGGCGGCGGCATGAAGGGGCTGCAGCGGAGGTGGTGCGCGGCGGGCTCCGGCGGCAGCTTCGGCCAGATCTGGGTCCGGACGCCGCGGGCTGCGGGCGTCCGCCCCTACCGTGGCCTCGGCTGGTGGTGGTGGAGGCGCAGCGGCGGTGGCAGGTGGGCGTGCTGGTCGGAATCCAGTCGTCCCGCCGGCTGGACAACGGCGGTAGGGCAGATGGGCTCCCCGGTGAGCATTCTTGGCGTTCGGCGGCTATACTTGGGGTCCCCCTTGCCGGTGGTCGGGTCTGCGTCGGTGGCCTTGCGCGGTGTTGCGTCGGCCGCCGAGGTGGGGCGGCACAGGAGTGTCCGGTGGGGAGGCTGGTTGGAGGGATGGGTGGCGCCGACATGCTCGGGCCCCCGTCACTGGCACAGGGGTGTGCCGGTCCGGATGCGTCCGCTCCCCCACCTTCCCCTTTCCTCGGCCGCGTGTTGGCTGTCGCAGCTCCGACGATGTTCAAGGCAGGATGTATGATGCGGTTCGTCGGTCGGTGGGGCTCCTTTGGTGCAAAGTTGATCTCTTTGGATGGTCTTAGGGGTGTCTAGATGTTGGGCGGCGGCCCTGGCGGCGGGAGGTGTGGCGTTCGGGAGCGGAACCTGCGTCTCAGGTGCGGGCGGGCAGCCATGGTCTCGCGGGGGACGTGACTGCGGGTGGTTGGCGGAGCAGGGGTGTGTCGGTGGGTGCGAGCACCGGGGTTCATCACCTGCCCAGTCCTTTTCTGGCCGTCGGTGGCGGCGTTTGTGGACGTCGTATTCTTCTTGAAGGCTCCGTCACGGTGCTCTCACCCCTTGCGTCGCTCTGGGTGAAAACTTGATCTGCGGATCGGACGGTGGCGGCTATCCGTGGTCGTACCCTTCTGGGGGGCACCGTCTTGAAGTCCTTGCTTCGTCATGGTCCGTCTCACCCCCTCGGTGACTCCAAGTAGTTCTTCGTAGCTCATACTTTGTTGGCTTGGTTGTGTCCGAGTGGTGTGATGGTGCTTGGCACCCTTGTATCTAGCCTTGGGTGTGTGTGTTGTGTGTCGTGGTGGCGTGTGTTTGTTCAGCTCGCTCAGATGTATGTGGTGATGTTTGCTTTATAATATAAAGCGGGGGGAAATCCTTTTTCGGTAGTTTATTTTTTTTGAAAATATACATAAGAGGCTTATAAATTTGAGCTTATTGATCATGACCTACCTTTGCTCTACGTGGGCCATCTTACATTGCAATTGGTAAAATGAGCCATCTTTGCTTTGCCTCTTGACAGAAATAGCACACACTTAACTTGATGATGTCTCTTTACCATATGACATAAATGAGTGGGTGTAAAAGACCAAAATACCCCTGATCAAAAACAAAATGTTAGTAACCCGTGCAATCTTGTATGCATCGCAATTTGTTTTTTCAAATTTTGTCAAAAAAACTAACTTTCCCATAAAAATCCGGTAATATTACAGAAAATAAGTATATAACCATAGTAGTCTACTATTCAAATTTCAGCCAATTCTGGAAAAGGGGCAAAGAGAAAACAAGATCCCAAATTTTGGGCGAAAATTTGAACAACCCAGAAATATATATATATATATATATATATATATATATATATATATATATATATATATTACAAAAAATCAAATATATTCTTAGTACGCTGTTCAGATTTCAACCAATTCTGGACAAGGGGCAGAGAGAAACAAAATTTGAAATTTTAGTCCGAGTTTGTCCAAAGTTTGGGCAAACATTTGAACTACCCAGAAAAACCTGAAAATTTTACAAAAAAAATCAAGTATATTCATAGTGTACTGTTCAAACTTCAGACAATTTAAGCAACTATAGCAGAGAAAATGGCATACATTCTTGTTGTCCAACAAGTTTGACACACTAGTCACACAAAATAGATAAAGTTTTCCATTACATAGCAAAATAGAGCAACACATTACAAAGTAAATCTCAAGTTCCAACACATAGATGAAGGTTTCAAGTCCCAACACATCGAAAACACATCACAAAATTAAGCAAATCTCAAGTTCACCAACTCACCTCAGTGGAGCCTCCGTCGCTGGGCACGGTATAGAGCAAAGATGGGGTATTTTATCAATTGCAATATAATATGGGGCATATTGGCCCTGGCAGACCTAAACTTAGACAATCTGAGAAAGGTCGCCCTACTTTCGGGACAACTGTTTTTTTTGCATGGAAAACTTTCAATCTATTCATCAACTGTCAAGATAGTACAAAGAACACCAGAAATAAAAAATACATCCAGGTCCATAGATCACCTAGCGACGACTACAAGCACTGAAGCGAGCCGAAGGCACGCTGCCGTCATCGCCTCTCCCTCATCGGAGCCAGACAGACCTTGTTGTAGTAGACAGTCGGGAAGTCGTCGTACTAAGGTCCTGTAGGACCAGCGCACCAGAACAACAACCATCGCCGATGAATTGTCTTTTACTTAATAATCATGGATGCTTTTTTATTTGAGTTTTCTAAGTTTTTTTTAGGATCTCATTGATTTTTGTTTTAGCAAAATGAGGATCTCATTGATTTTTTTTTGAGACAAAAATGAGGATCTCATTGATGATGTGAATGGGCCATCACCGTGAGGCCCAGCGAAAATTCGACCGTTGCCTGCCTCACTAAAGTACCCGACCGTTGGACGCACACCACCCCTTCCCTTCCTTCCTTAAGCCGCGCGAGCG